AAATATATATATATATATATATATTATCTTTTCCATATATTAATGGATTTTTAAAAAATTAATACATTATTTTTTATTAAGTTTTTATTTAATTCAGATTTAATTAATGTTTTTTTATTAAAAAAATTTTAATTATTTAGAATAAATAATATTTAAATATTACTGTTTTTATTATTTAGAGATTTTTAATTTAAATTTTTTAATAATTTGATTTTTAATTAAAATTTGTACGTATGTGTAAATAAAATAAAATTTGAAATTAACTATCGTATGAATCTTAATACAGTATAAACATTTTATTAATATATGATATATTAATTGTAATATTTGAAAATAACTGAATAAAGATATAGCCAAATTTAATATTTCAATGCAAAACTAACGATTTTTTTTAATTTTTATATTATATAGTGGAATATCTAAATCTATATTCAAATTTTTATTACAATATCTATATATACATACACATAATTCAATACATTTTTCTTATATAAATACATATATTTTTACTTATGTGTAACTGCATTTTTAATTAATAGTACTATGATGACTTATGCAGAAAATACTTTATTTCAAATTTTTTCAGAGGAATATTCACGTCGGTATCTGTAAGGTACTTTCGTGCTGTCTGCTTTTCTATCAAATGCTGCCCTCTGTTACGTTTCAGAACGCATAGTGAACCTCCAGTTCGCAGGCGCATCTTTCGGTATATGTATATACCGATTCTCCATCTCCTATGTGTTAACCAGAATGCATTTCTTCCTCGTGTTTCACTGATGCTGGAACCGCTAGTTCTTCCTCTTTCTTTCTGTCTATCTCTCATTTGCCTCGCCGCACTCTTCTCTCCCTCGACCTTCGTTCTTACGTACCAGTTCCACAGTACTTGCGTGGTAGCGGCCGTTTTCACAGCGACCCCACTACGAAACCTCACAACCAGTTCCAGTTACTAATAGTCCGTCTGCTACCTGATGCGGCAGCAGTTGTTCTTCACTGCTCTCACTGTCTGCCTATTTATCTCTCAATCAATAATTTCTTTTTTCCTCGCATTCCCTTACTTGTTTTTTATGCAAGTAGTTATATTTTATTTTATTCTCTTACAACTGCGCGAATGTTATCCGAATGTCCGTGAACGCCCGATAAGAGCAACAGTGTCAGGGTCAGTGTGAGTGGGGTAACGCGGCGGCGTGCAAAAGCAAACGTCAGGAGAGTTTGGTGCGGTGCGATACGGGTGAAGGGGTTCAGCCTCGTCTCTCTCCCGCCTGACACATCAGTCTCCGTCGACGAAACATGTCTCTCATCGCCGACTGCTTTCGCCGTCTGACGGACATCTCGTCCTGCAAAAGCGAGGTACGCAACACGTGCTGCTTATCTTGCATGCCAGTTGCGCGATAAGTATCTGATGTATCGGAGTAGAATGCGCGCTTTAATTGCATTCTTGAAGAGCGACTGTCAATCGAAACATCTCTTAAAGACACAACTTCTTTTTTTTTTTTAAATATTTATATTTATTAAATGATATATTTGCTAATAAACTATGTAATTAAGCTGCGTTCTGGAATTAAATAAGACTTGATGTATGTAAAAAAATCTTCTTAACTATCGAATTATCATAATATCCAAGTGTTCAGTATATCTAGTAAAGCATTTATTACTCTCTCTCTTCTACCACTAATACTATATTATTGTGTATACCAAGCTATTTCTGTATTTATTTTTTTAGTATGTGTTAACATGTAAAGATTATTACTAAAGAGCATTTTCATACAAGAATGCAGATATTAATGGCGTATCACGATTTGTATTCAAGCTATAATTTTGTCGTTAATCAACTACACATATATATGTGTGTGTGTACATAGATAATAATACGTATGAGGATATTTGATGAATTTTAGTATCAGCGGTTTCATTATTCATGACATTTGCATTTTGACATGACGTGTCGAGTGGCCTCGACTGGGCACCATTGAATATAAAATGTAGGTCACTCGAAGAAATTGTGCACGCGCAATGCTTTGAAATCCGATGGCCTTGAACGTGATACAGAGTGCAATTACGCGGTTACTTGATCTGTAATAATCTAATAATACCCGACGTCCCTTAATGCAACTTATTTTAGAAGCGGAATTTAATTTTTGCTATTCCATCTCAATTATCAATACTATAATAACTATTATTTGATTTATTTTATTTTATATTGTACTTTTACTTATATATATATATACTATATATATTTTTTTATATCGTCTTTTACTTTTTATTAAACTAATTATTACTCGATGTATTGCTACTTGTTGTAACGACACAATTCAAAAAACTAAGTTTTTCCAGAAAATAAGTTTATATTCTTTAAACTTTAAATTATTAAAATTTTATTATTTTAATTTTGAAGTGTAATTTTGATGTATAATAGATTATAGAAGAATAATAGAAATACGTTCTTTTTTTAAGTCTTTTTTCCTACAAGCAATTAAAAAATGACTATTTTTTAATTGTATCATGTAGCAAATAAGTGGTATACCAGGAGGCTTCATTAATTGTATATTTCATTGCAGATTGTACAGCATTTTTTGACTGGGATAAATATTTTTAAATATTTCACCCATGTAAAATTTTTTATTAATTTCTATAATTTCTCAGCTGACAAATTCATTTCAGCTCAAAGGCTACAAAGTGACCGATGTGAATCGTACACGAAAAATCGGTATTGCTTGCCGAAATTTTCAGGATTTGAAACAGAAGGCATGTTTAAAGTTAAATGTAAGTATATATTAATATAAAATAGTCTTTTGTTAACAGTAAGCTAATTTCGAACGATGCGTTTGTATGTGCGTCGCGTAACAAAAACCATATCTTATGAATAATTCAACATATTTTCACACAATGTAAACTGTACTTAATTGTAACGCGAAAACGTAACAAAGTTTGTCATGTAAATGTCGCGTATTTACATTTATCGAATATGTATTTAGATGTCGGTGACTGGCATAGATTTGAACTAAATTTATATATTTTAAAGTGCTGATTCACGTAAATATTCAATGCTTATTGTTACGTAAATAACTACATAAGTAGTATATAATTTCACATATTGCAATAAGCACTTAAAATTCAACTTAACTGCTAAAGACTTTTTTTCCTTTCTTGTTCATGTGTATAATACGATCCTAATGATTTTTCGTTAATATTTTTTATTTAAAATAAAAGAGTAATTTATATTGTTTAGACCATTCAGGATAATCGTCATGTAATTATTATGTAGATACTTTTGATTAAAATATACTGAAAAAAAACTCATTAATAGTATTTTGAATATCATTTTTTTAAATTTAAAATATCTGCATTGTTTATAATAACAAAACAATCATGATACAATGCAAATTGAAAACAGAAGCCGATGCAATTGAATGACCTTAAGTCCAGTCATTGCTGTTCGATTTACGGTCATTAAATGGCTTCGTGGAATGTGGAATCTGTCCTTGCAGTCGAAAGCAGGAATAGCGTGACCGTGCATGTGCACTAAACGATTCATTGTTGTATAGATTTACTAAACTGTCAACATACTCATTCAATGCATTTCTTTCTCTTCATTATGCGTCCACTTAATCGTTTAAATCATGTTTATAATGTATTGTAGTTATTTTTGTCCCGACTTTCTTCTAAGTTATTTTGCAATCAGTATTGTCCATGATGACTTTTATATGATTGTGCGCTACAATCTTTAGATTAATAGGAGTAGTAAATTGGAACACAGTAGTATAGGCCATAGTGTTTGCTTAATATAGTGTTGCGAAAATAGAAAGCCATTCATTAAAGAGATGTGCAGAAACTTGCATCAAGTAACAAGAATATTCTGTAGAAATTATGCAAGCTGACAGTACTCTTGAAATATCGTTTCATTAAGCGCAGATACGATATGGCGTATGTAGTTAAAAATACTCAGGAAAATAAAATCTTACTTATGTATGTTAAGGTTATATCAAAAGAGCAATGATAATCCAATTTCTCATTAAATAACATTTTGTTACTCTTAACTGTCATATGTATGAACATTTCTGTGATTAATTTGTTAATTACTAAATAAACTACGTCTGTATTAACGTATGCAATTTGCAAATAATAAACTAAATTTAAGTAAATAATATATTTTTTGAATTAAATTGTCTAACTCAATTTTAATTAAATTAACAACGTATGTGAAAGAGTAATGGCGACTTATAAAAATGATTAAAACTGATTCAATTTAAGTGTAATTTTACATTATAATTTTAACAATGTACTACGTGTTTTATACTTGCGAATAATATAATTTTTATACATATTGATATTCTCGAGCAAAAAGTTTTTGCTTCTGTAATTAAAGTTAGTAAGCGATTCAATTGTTTAATTGTTTATAAAATAATAAAAAGAAATATAAATTACTGGAAAAATAAAATGTCACTTAATTGTGGTATTTAGTGCGTTAAATATTTTATATCTTTTTTGGTATGACAATATGAATACAGTTACGATAAAGTGATGAAAATATCAATAAAGAGACTAGTAAATGTATTTTGATCGAAATGTATTATGGTCAATTGTTCATATTGAGTACATTTTTCAAAGACTGCCCTTAATGTGAAAGAAGTTGGAAGCATATAACGTAGTCGATGAGAGCATTTCACGGATAGGTCGATCCAGTTTCAGCGCGTCCTTGAAATTCGCATCCGGTTGGCCGCAACCGCTGGCTTTATCGAACCAGCCGGGCCAGGGACAGGAAGTAATCTCAGTGTTAAGGTCGCGAATTTGCTTTTTGCGCTGGCTCAAATGTCGACCCAAATAGTTTGTTAGGTCAATGTCAATCCTGGTTACGCAAAATTATAAATATTTACCTCTTAAATTGACATTCTTGAATAACATTTCTAGAAATAATTTAAATTAAATCTTACGCAATATGTTCAAATAAAATTAAAAATTATTACTAAATATACATATATCACTAAAAAATTATTATTATGGCAGCAGTTTTAAACTAACGAAATAACGTTTCCATTATATTAAAATATGCATTGATAGCATTATTGTACGTAATAAATAATAAATAATAAACGATAGATTTCTCCATAAGATTTGTTAAATTTAATATTTGGCATTTGTTTCAAAATGGCTCACTTAAAATTTTATGTTAATTTAACTTTAACACAAAATGCTTGAATAACACAATTACAAATTAACACCCAAATATCTAAAAAATTTTAAGATTGTATAAAAAGAACAGTTTTAATATAAATGTTTTTTTTACTGTGTATAAGTAATATTACATTATACTTGATAATAATTTTGACGTAATGCGATTAAATAATTTTCTGATAATAATTTGTGAAAATAATTTATACTTCTAACAACTCTTCGCTATTGAAAAGAAAAGTTGAAAGTTTATAAGATAAACACAATCCACAATTAATTACAGCATCGATCTCTATTATTTAGAATCGTTAGAAAAATGTGAGAATAACATCGTCATGCTAAGAGAAGTGATGTAAAAATTAATGAAAACCTTGTATTTAGCCTTCAGAAAATTATTTACATTTCCTTCGAGAAGATAACAGGATTATAATATAGCTTTGACGTTTATTTGAGATAATAAATATTCTCTTGTATTACCTCATCAATAATTCAAAATTGTTAGTTTACGGACATTAATTAATTCGTGAGCAAAGAAGAAAAGAAAGATTCCTGCAATGTAAATATACAGAACGTAATACATACTCCTTGCCCAAAAAGAATTAATTAAATAGAATGGTAAACTAATCGATTTTGTGTTTTCTCTTGTAGGTAACTAACGATCCAGCGGAAGTGAATGTTTTTCTTTTAGACGGATCATTGATCGACGAAGAATATTTTTGTACGTTGGAACCACAGACTATTTTGATCTTGCAGAAGCCAGGGGAAAAAATATTATCCGGTTAGTACAACAACGTAATATAATTAATATTATTAAGCACGATTTGAAACTGGAAGTAACATATTATATAGCAATGTTAACAAAAAATATTATATTACGTGTTCAGAATTTGAATATTCTACTTTTGAGATGACTTTCGTCATTTTAGGGTCAACCAATAACATAATTATTGTATACTAAGGAATTTTTTAGATTTATAGAGAAGATAATTGCTATAACAGAATTAAAGAACTAGAGAGAGTTATGAAGTTAATTATCACGTAGAAAATGACTAATAGATTTTTTATTTTAAAATAATTGTACTCAACTTAACAATTTGTTGTCTTTTTAGATGATTGAAAATTGTTATTATTTGCTAAAAGTTTTGCATTAATCTTTTATATTTCTAATAGGGAATTTGATTGGACTCACTAATGCGCTCTGATACACAATTAGTTGTTAATATCTAATACATAATTAGCCGTACACTAATTTAATAAGTGTAAAATGCAAATATTTAGCATTTTTAAATGTTTTATTTAACAGCGCAATATATAGATAAAGAGTGTATTGAGGATTTCGCAGTTCAACTCGTTTCTGTATTTATATTGAACATACATCTTTACATCAACCTATATGCGACAGTTTTAATATGCACCAGTGCTCACTGAGTGTGTCCAACCGAATTCACTATAAAAAAGAGAATCATTCTCTCTCAGGTTGGGTTATTCCACCTTTCCATAAATGTCAATTTATTCTCTCTCTCTCTCTCTCTCTCTCCCCCTCCTCCCTCTTTCTCCCTCTCCCTCCCTCCCTCCCTACTTCTTTGCTCTTTCTTTTGTCCATTAGATAAATTATTACATAATTATCTGAAAATGAATTAACCTGTCTAAATATCAATTTTTTAATATACATGTGGACTTTGGAAGTAAACATCTGATACTTACAACTGATGCTGTTATATTGTAACTAGTGTCTTTAATCATTGACAAATTCGCAACTGTATAAAACTAATGATTTTGTTATAACTTTTTGCTACAACTGCTTGAGATTTTCGAATTGTGCATCTATAACATTCGTATTCGCTATAATTTAAGAACGCTTCTGAAATACATTAGTCCCAAAATTCATAAATTTATCATGATATACTAATGAATGCATTGCACTCGATCGAACGCCAAAATTAAATATTCCAATCCAGTATCGGCCTCTCAAAGCTTGCGAACTCCTTGGCAAAGTTGTACGCGGCATTCTCGTGAAAAACAGATCGCGACCTTTAACTGACATGAGCGAGGATGCTGCGCAATTTTTTTTTCAAGGACGAATGATTTCCCGCAGACGCGGACATTCTCTATGATGCACTGAGACGCGTGAACATCGATTTCCTCACTGCTGGCGACAGGGTGACGCAATTCCTGACGGAGAATCTTAAAGCAAAAGTCGCTTTGTTGAACAAAGTATTAAACAAAGATGACTCTAAGACCGCTTTCAACACGAGGGAAGAACATCCGGAGTGGTTTGAAAATTTGGAAACCAATTGTATGACAAAGGTGTGTTCAATAATATCCTCTTTAAAAATATTTTACTAAACTTAAATATTAACAACCTATATATTCCAAGCAACGTCAGTTAAGGATGCATTATCTGTACAATGCCTGCAAAGTAAACTAATAGTACATTGTGTAACAGTGGGGGATAGTTGTTTATAGCGCGGCCGGGCGCGAGCGCACGAGCGAAGCGAGATAAACAAATATGCCCCACTCGCTACACATAGAATTTTTCATTACAAGTGCTCGTCGTAGGGTGCCCTATACCATACAGCAACGTTTTTGCGCAGAAGAGTGGGATTAGAGAAATAACTCAACGGCTTGAGGTATTGGCTATTTACCGCACGCAAAAGCGTTACGGTATAGAGCACATTACGTGCACGCGTGATGAAAAATTAGAAATATGTAATATTTATAATGTAAATAAGTTATATACATATATAAAAGCTTTATGAATAACATCATATTTTTACTTGTCACATTTTACTTAACGCATTTTTATAATTAATTTATGTAATTAATTATATATATGTAATTATTTATATAATATTTTAAACTATTAATTAAAAAAAATCTTATTTCTCGATTTAAACAGTTTTTCTTTATACTTTGCATTGCAAAAAACAAGAGTGAAATAATCTAATTAATATTATTTTAATTTGCAAATAATATATTTTTAAATCTTAAATATCAAGGGATCGTATATTGTGAAAAATGCAATCAATGAGAAATAAAGCTTTTAATATATTTTTATACATATACAATATATAAAAAGCTTTGGAATTAAATTGATCCTTTATTTTACTTATTATAGGAAGCATACATGCACCGCAGATGTCAGGATAGAATACGCACTTATCTTTACAAAACGATTGAGCAGATTAAGTGCTCGGACGTGTTTATAAATGATTATAAGGCGAGGAAACAACTTCTGCATACAATAGCGTTCTTCAAACTTCAGCTTAAGCAGGATCACTATTTCGGGTATTATTTTGATAGGAGCAGAGCGGAGTTTGACTCTAAAAGCGACAGTGACGAGACCGATTATGCTCGATGTTACGAGCACTGTCCCTGTAATTTTGGTCATATTAACGATGAAACATATCTTCGTCAACGGTATCTCCGTTTACCTCAGTCATCGGATATTAACGCGACTGCTGATTTTGATAAGATTGACGAGACGGACGCAAGAAAGTGCCTCGCATCCGAGAAAAACGCGAAAACAGGGAACGACGATTCGGAGAGCTTTCTTTATCGCGTGAAACTGCGAGAAAAGCAGATTGCTATTTGCGACAAGAAAGGCGAATTCAAATGCGAAGGTCGGTGGAACACCGATGGCTGTCCCTACGGCGACAGGCACAAGATTAATCCGTACAGATCCAAGGAGGACCTTGCCTTATTTTCTACATGGAATTTGGATCATAAGTAAGATAACGATTGTAATATTTGTCTTTGATTGATATAATTTGTTATAACACACCAGATGACTTGAAATTAAAGGAATTGTTAATAACCTTGCATGTGTAAAAGTTTTACGATAAAAATTTAAAAATCTAGAAAAATTTTATTTATTTGATGTGCAGTATCAATATATGACGCACAATAATTGGTAAAACTTGATTATTTTCTATTATTTACTGTTCGTCCCAATATTATACACACAGCAACCAATTTATTTACTTTGTAATAAATATGAATTCAACAAACGGCGTAAAAACCGTTTAACGAAGTTTATTTCATTACTAGAGAGAAATTAATAAGATCGTAGATTTGAAACAATCCAATTGTTTGTCATTTACAGAATCGAAAGGTCCAGAACGCTTATTCCGAAGTTGTTGCAAATCTCGCAACAAGATACGATCAATGAAGAGGACATCTACGACTGTTACGACAATCTGTTTACCGTGAAGAATTTAAGACTAGTCCATATCGTATGCCACGATAAAGGATCGCATAAATAAGCGCTAATTCCAGGAGATTATATTTGGCACATATATTACGCTTTTAAAAGTGCCGATTGTATACGTGAATGCTAAAGAATAATTGTACACAATTGTGAATGAGATGATGCACCTATATGTAATGCATATAGAGTGCGCTCGCGATCTCTTCAGATCTCTACAAATAAGTATATTTAATACGTTTAAGTGCTGTTGATAGAATATAGATTTAGAGATTATTATATGTTATATTATCGAGCGTATTTCCATTGCAGCATGAAATAATGAGCAATAACATAATAATAAAATATCCGTTCCTTAAAGATTGACAGTTCGAATTTTCATAGATTCTATTTGTGGATGATAAAAAATTTAATTTCAAATTATATTGATATGTAACTTGCGAATTTAATTATTTTACAATACGAGACGTTCAATAGAATAGAGTTGAACAAAACAAAAAACTATTAATATTGAATTTACAATTATTTTTAAATGTTACTTGATGGTTGTTAAGAGAAAAGATCTGAAAATATATAATAATCAAAGAGGAAATTCCAACACATACAATATTTATAAACAGAAATAATTGAAGATCTATCGAACTCTTACATGATATCTTAATTATATAATTTTTCAATTGGAATGTTTTTATATTCCGAAGATGGATTTTCTCTATCACTCTGTTTTTATCAGTACAGTTACGTAACGATTTTTTTTTAAGAAGCAATTTTGTTCAAAAAAACTAAAAATATTTCAATAAATCAATTACGAATACAGGGTTGCATAAGTCATACGCAATGGAAGAATCATAATTTATTCTAACGATTTTAAAGATTGGGAAAGAGAAAAATTGTTGTTTCAAATACGTCGTTACGCATTGAGTACGTTCAGTGCTTGTAGATAAAAATTACTAACGAGTGTAACAGCTCTCCGTTAGACCCATGTCACATCAGAAATGAATCTGTGAGCCTCTGTTAGATCAGCTTAATTAATTCTTGACGTGATCCACCTCTGACAAAGAATTAATGCTCGTCTTGTGCTCCACGAACTGTGAAGTAGATTATCTTTCAGACATATTTTTATTCTGACTGCTCGTTAAGAGACAAAACAAAGTTCTGATATATATACATTAACATACTATATATATTATATTTAGAGAAAATTACAAATATATACACCATATATTATTCTTGTATAAATAGAGGACTTTTCACAATTTCCGCGAATCCACATTTGTATTTATATTAATTCTTCGTATAAATTTAAAATTATTAATTTTTTTTAATAAAGAATTAGAAAGTTGTTTCTTGATATATATTTCTATAATTCAAATCAAAATTTTATTGCAGAAGGAGAAAAAGAGAGTAAAGTTCGATATACATATAAAATTAAGTAATAAATCTTGTTATATATTTGCATCTTTATGAAATTCGTAAAGATGCCTGTTTTACTTATAATAACTTATAAAGGATTATTGACTAAAAGGAATAAAAGGAAGTGCGGAAATTATGAAGGAGAGATATACATATATATATATATATCTTTTTATATGTATTATATTGAATGATGTTTTAGGAATTTTCACCATATACGAGGTATATTCAACATATATTTCCGATATCTAATAGAAAAAAATTGCACAAAAGTACTCAACGTACTGATATTATTCTTTCTTTAAATTACTATTTTTATTTATTTTTCAAATTGTGACGTTTATAAATGCAAGACTCGAAAGTTAAGAACGTGTCAGTAAAATAGACTGATCTGATAAATAACTGATGTTCTAAAAATATTAAATATAACGTAACAATTTTATATTTTATACAATATTTATATATATTAGTCTAGTTTATTATTATTCTAGAATATTTGCATTTGATTATATTTATTTATATTGCACAACGCTGAGCTGTATTAAATATTTCGATAGTTATTATCATATCGAAAAACATTGTTCCTAATTTAATCGAAAGATTTGACTGCTTCGCATACATGTTTGTATGTTGTGTGTATTGTTGTATACGGTGTATTATTGTTTATCTACAGGGTGCAAAGCTGTAGAGACAACTATTATGGCTTTGACCAATATAAGTCTTACTCTTCTGGGTAGACTTCTGCCATTCATATCGCTTCCGATGTTTAAAAAGTATATACAATATTATGGTAGACGTATCGGCAAATGAGTTAAATTGAAATGTTAACCATTTATTTATTATTAAATAATTAAAGAATATGTATATATATTTATAGAAAATTATGAAAGTAACAGAAGAGAAATTTTGAAGTAATCGGTAAAATTAATAATGATTCCGATAAAATAATAACTGATTTGAGTTATATACATTCGTAATAATTAAAAAACTTGGTCGCGTATAATAATGTCCTAAAAAATAAAATAAAACAAAAAATGGAACATTTCATTTTATTTTACTTTTATCTATTTATTTCTTGTGTAAGTAAACTGTAACTTTTTAATTATAAATTTAGTTAATGTTTGTTTACAAATAAATAAATTTATTTACTGATACGTCTATCCTATATAAAGTTGCGATAATATGCAATATTAAATTTAAAATGGAGTAGAATTAATCTCGTTCTTCTATCGAAAATATGAATTTTCTTCTAGCTAAGTTTATCAGTTTAATTTAAATCAGTTAAATTTAATTTATAAAAATTTATAACGTTGTATATTACATTAAAAAAATTGCTTTTAAATATATTCAGTACATTTTATATTTTTAATAATAATTTTTCAATTATTTGTTTAAATTCTTCATTCTGCATAAACATATTTTGACTAATTTATTACTTACACACATACTGAAGACTATCTATATTTTTATCTAAAGTTAGAAACTTACATGACCATTGTTATATAATTAATTGTATTATGATATTCTATATGCTAATTTTACCTCATTGTTAATTAACTATATTGACGATAAACAGTGCCAGAAAGCCTAAATATTTATCATAAGATTGTGTTTATCAATTTTGAGTTATTGTTAATTAACTATGATGACGACAAAACATACCGATCTAAATTTCTGATTACTCATTGAGGTGTTTCATATAATATTTTAGTAAAAGAGCAATGATTCTTACAAATTATGCACAGCAATGCAGAATAAAAATACCAAATATGGAATACATTGTTAACATAAAATATTATGATATTTATAAACAGAGCTTCTACGATAATTGCATCAAACGTTACTAAACTGGAGCAAATGAAAGTTCATTAATACTAAATGATATCCTTGTAGTTTCTGTTATTATACATTACAAATTACTTTTTGAATATCTTTTAATGCCAAATTAAGTTACAAGATTTCAAAAATTTGATAATGTTTAATAATTACGTTTTAATATTATCTTTAATGCTAGTTAGAAAATTTATATCTTATGTTATAACAACATAATATTTTAATGTGATAGATAACAAAAAAACTATAAATTTTTATATAATTTTATAAAATATTTTATAAAATATTATGCTTGAATTTTTCTTTTCAGGTGCAAATTTATCATTTTTTTATATTTTTGTATTTGATATTTTTTTATAGTTTTATATTTACCAATATATATATTCTAAATCTAATAAATATTTTTCACATATATGTATAAATGATACAACGATTTCAAATAAACAAATATTCAGCGGTTAAATAAAAAAACAAATGTTTTATAGAATATATATAAAATGTAAATGGTGTATCTGTATGTATACTCCATATTTGGTATTTTCTTTCTATATATTTTTTATCGCTTTTATTGGATGAAGTATTCGTAGGCAATTTGAATGACCTGTTGTTTTCGATAAATTTTTAATCAACTAGGTCAATGCAGTTCAGCAAAATTTTATTTGTTATGTGATGTATATGTCGATGAAAATTGATGTTATTGAAAATAAGTTTGTCAAGGATTATACTGTCTTAAAAAGGGTTTTAAAACCATAAAAAATGTATGGTTAAATTCCTCTTTTTTCTTTAAAATATAAATGTTTCATAAAAAATAATTTTTTTAACTTTTCATATACCTATATGCGATGACTGATATAACTATAACGGTTTTGTTTTCACTGTGAACTGTTAAACGTTAAAATAATAAAAGGGCATGTTAAATGTTAATTAATGTTTAGCAAATATATTCAAAGTTTATCTGGAATCCATTCAAAAGGAATGACGTTCTTGAAGTAGAGATTAGGTATCGATTTCCTGCCACAACTCTTAAGCATCGGAGATCTATGTAGCTTGGAAGTACAAAAGAGACATGCTAAGTGTTAAGAATATTTTGATATGTTTAAAACGTAGATTATTTAAGAAAGAAAGTGAAGAGATATGTTGCGTGCATTATTGTTATTTCAAAACTTATACTAGAATTAATTTTTTGACTTCTGTTGAAAAATGATAACAAGGTTTCAGTTTTTATTTTGATATAAAATAAAATTTAATTTTAAAGAAAATAAAAGGAAGAAATATTTCCACTCCAACATGGTATACCCATATATGTATATTATGGAGTAAGTGGAAATTGCATAGAAGTGTGCAATACTTCTATACGTATGTACAGATATGTAGATGTGTAAATATAACATTTTTCAATGTACAAGAAAGAAATGTGTATTTTACTTTAGAAAAATATATTTTAGTTACAAGACAGAAAAAAGTTCTGTTTTCATTCCTACTCTAAATAGATACTTTGTTTTTTTTTAATCGTTAAAATAAGTAAACCCTTTCAGATCTGATTTTAATATATTACGTTGAAAAAGATTTTTAATTTCATTCAATGGCACTTAAATTCAAACTAAAATATTAATTTTTTTTTTAATTTTGTCTATTATTTCACAACATATACATCATTACGGATGTACGGATCTTACTTCAAATAATGATGATAAAATTGATTAATTTTAATGGATAATATGTCTTCAATACATATCATAATGTATACATGTATAGGATCTCAAAAGATTTTAATAAAATTATTAAGTTTAATAAAGTATAATTTTTGCAAAATTGAAATCTTTTAAACTTTGAGTTTATTTGTATAGAATATTTATATATATGTGCATGTTACATATAAAAATATGAAGATTTTATTTGTCATTTCGCGGGGCATCACTCACAAAATATGATACGTGATTTTCGAGCCATTTTGTGTCGGAAAAGGTGTC